AAGGAAGGTAAGTGTGTAGGAGTTAAGGAAGTAGAGAGGTGGGTGTGGGAATGACACGCAGAAATCACAGGAATGGTGAGATTTATTTTATCTAATTTTTTTATTGAAACACCGGTTTTACACGTGTATGTCTAGTTTTTATGAGGAAAGGAAGGTCAGAAGGAGTGAGGGGAAGAAGGAAGGGTTTAAGGAAGGAAAGAAGCAAGGAAGGAGGGGGAGAAAGAAAGAATTGAGGGAGGAAGGATGGAAGAAAGAAATCAGGGACAGAAAGAATATGAAATGAAGGTAGTAAGGAGAAAAGAAGCAAGGAGGGAAGAAATTATAGAAGGAAAGAAGCAAGGAAGGAGGGGGGGAGAAAGAAGGAACAGAGGGAGTGAGGGAGGAATGAAGGACAGAAGGAGGGAGGGAAAGAAGGATTTGAAGATTGAAGGAAGGATGGGGGAGAGAAGGAAGGAAGGCAGTAAAGAAGCAAGTAAGGCGGGGGAGAAAGCAGTAATTGAGGGAATGAGGGAGGATGCAAGAAAGAAGGAAGAATGGTATCTTTATTTATTTATGCTGGTAGTTTTTGTTCCTGAATTATTTCATGCATGTTGATGTGCAGCTTCTAAACGTTAAATAAAGTGCCTGTGTGAGGTTTGGCTTCAAACTAGGACTGTCTGTTTTGTTTTTACTTTACGGAAAAAATATCGAGATATATATCGTATATCGCCATTCAGCTAAAAAATATCGAGATATGAATTTTGGCCCATATCGTGCAGCCCTAGGCTGTAGTCACTAATTAGTTATATTGTTAATGATTTACTCTCTTATTCATTGGCCTCTTTTTACAAACTTATATCAGTGCTTTTAGTGTCCAGAACAAAGGGTCAAGGAAGGTTTTGTCCTTGGCAAAATGATATGTTTACACTGCTTGGCAACAGCCTCCGAGATAGGGCTGCATTGATTTAACGGCAATCCAATAAAAACGTAACGTAAGCTATAATCTCTTTAAAGTCCAGTCCACATTCAAACACATGTATTTGTACTTAAACCGATATATTCCTGCACTTTATCTGTATATTGAAATATGAATGCTTGTTGTTTGTATGTTGTCTTCTTGTGAATGTTGTACGTCTCTAGTTTGTTTTTTGTATTTTTGGTGGCACCTTCAAAAAAGGAGCAGCTCTACTCATCTCATTGTACCTGTATAATGACAATAAAGGATTCTATTATATTCTATCGTACATTTCACCTGGGATTTGGCTCTGTATTTAATTTGAGGATTGACTAGTGCACAAAGGAGTGCTTCAGTCTGAACTTATTAAATCGCGGGACCCTGTATCTCCGATTTGAAGGTAATGTGGTCATAGATGATGTTGTTGGAAAGCCTCCATATGTTGTTATGGTTGTTTATGATTAGGATATATTTGACTCACGACACGGGCTCAGGCTGGCGACGAGGGGTAACAAACAGCGTCCGTGTGGGCCGGGCGCTGCTGGCGTCTGGATGGGCGTTCCAGGGCTTGGCGTAGCTGTGGTCCAGAAATACCAAATCCAGCTCCCTTTCATGCGCCGACAGCTGGAAAAGCAGGGATGTTCCCATCTTCCGTGCTGATATCTGGAAGTCTTTATCCCCGCCTCGATGCATCCTCTTCCTGGGCCCCAAAGGGACCCGGGAAGAGTTCAGCAACTTGGGATTCAGACCAATCTGGCAAAGAGGAGGAAAATGTGTTATTTGAGATATGCTGAGAAAACAAACAACGCTTTTGTTACATTCCACCAAGGGGCTTAATATATTTATAATTCACGAGGACTAAATACCTGTAAATAAATGCATTAGGCAAGTCCCCTTACTTTATCGGAGTGCTTCACTAAATCACATCAGGCTGAGACATTTCTATAAGGTTGTTATTGCGTTGTTATGGGGCAACCATTTAAAATAATCAAATAGACATAATAAAATGCACTGAATCATGCCTTTGAAAAAATAAAATATGCTGATTTAAAATAAAAACAACCTTTACAGTTCTACATGTGTTGGACTGTTATCAAAACAAGACATTTAATATAACTTTGGACTGTGGTAAGATCAAATGCTGTGCTCTCTTAAATGTTATAGACTAAAAGAGGAAATATCCTTAAGATTAACTGATAAGAGAAATAATCCACCAGAGGTAAATAAGCCTGATGAACTCCTCTCATATCTATGCATCAATCTGCATTTCACAGATTTATTTATGTATTACTACAATAACCAGTATTTTATCTTTGTACAGTATTACATTTCACATTCTGTTTTTAGCTCATCTCTTTGCTTTTATTCTATTTTACATGTATATAGTTGAACTCTAGTATGTACCTGCACATTTTATTCTATTCGGTTCCTCTGCAACTATTTTGTATTTGTTTTATGTTTCATTGGAAGTGTGGGACTTAAGATATTACATTTTGAACCTGTTTACCAAGAATTAAAACAATATAGTAGAACTTTTAAAACCATTATAAAAAATGTTGTAAAGGCAATAAAACCTTTGAAATAATCGTTAATGTTAGTGTAAGCCCACATGCAGGTGCTTTGTCCACAGTGAGCTCCACCCATTGCCATGTACAGGGTATTATTATTGTTTTTTATAATCTAATTTAACTGTTTTAGGTGTAATATAACTTCCAAACCATTAAAACGTAGCCTATATATGATAACTTTGCATGGATGTTAGCCAAATATGCATCAATAATGTTAACGCTGTGTAAAGGGGCTGGCTGGCCTGGCATGCTAATGTTAGCATAGCATGCTAAAAGCTACACTAATATCGCTATTTCGTTGCTCACCTTTACGCTTTATAACTCCATGTTGGTCGAGACGGTTTCAACTCTTATTATGATCCAAATAAATCACAACAAGCTCGTATTTTTGTTAATTCTGCACGTTTTAAAAATAAAAAATGATTAGTGCGTACAAGCCTCACTTCCTTTTGTTGTGTGATTTGTTGCCGTGTTGAGCTCCAAAACCCCCTTTTCCGGGCCGTTGAAAACAAGCGGATAGTCAGGGCTGCATTTTCAACAGAACTGGCAACCCAGTTTGTGGCGCGCCTGTGAGTGACGCAAAACGTGGACAAGATTTTAGCGGAATCTGCATCTTTAAATAATATTCAGTGGTAAACTAAACACGTTTTGGATAAAGATGTTTTTCGAAGGAGATTGCTTCGAGGTTTCAGAAAATTAGGTTTAAGTGATAGATCCATTTAACAGCAGTTTTTCGCGGGAGAAGTTGACATAATATATACTTTTGAATAAACACATTATGTATTGTTTTATATTGTGTTACATTGTGCATATTTTTACTCTGAATTCGCTATGATTGTATGATTTTTTTAAATGTTATTCTAAAATTGATGAACTTCTGTGAAATCCATTTCCCATAATTACATGGTTTAAATGCTACATTTATTTGTTTTATTTATTTAAATGTTTTTAATGGTAAAAATCTACCTACAAAAGACAAGATGATCTGACTTCAAGATTCAGACCATCGATTCAGACATATCTTCCGAGAACCACATATATATTTATCCACCATAAAATATGAATAATATGAGTAAAACAACGGTGTATTTGAATTTGTATCACATTTGTCACCTTAAATATGTTGTACACGTCTTCCCCAATGCCACCAAACAATTTAGATATTTCAAGTAAAATAAGTTGTTAACAAAGAATTAGGATTGTCAAATCTTAAAATTAACAAGGCTTTCAGGAAAATGACAGTCACTATGTGTTTTTTTCTGTTGGGTTAACTACAGTCAGTGGTGACCTCCAGTAACCTCTCTTATTTAATTCCAAAGGTCTCTGCAGATCACAGTTTAAAAGACAGAGACCATACAAGCAAACCCACACTTTAACTTTCCTCCTCTTACCTGAACACAATTCAGACCGGACAAGTTCAACTGCCACCATGGTGAGTGGATTTTAGTACTCAATCTGAAATTCTGGTTACAGATGTTATTTGCAGCTGTACAGCGATAATAATGGAGGTAAAGACATTTTATGTTAAAAATTTTATATTTTCTACTGACTAAAAGTGATATAATTTGGTTTGTATCATTTTGTGGCACGGACCTGAAGTTATGGGTTATCAAAATGGGAGCAATTTAAAGAATGACTCGTATCGTATAACATATCTTAACATATTATATACGTTTTTGCCTGATTTTTGCCAAATGCTTGCTAGGATACATATGTGGATGCTGATATCAAATGGTAAATCGTTGTTCCTTTTTTTCGTGTGAAGAAATATTTGGCTCTGGCTTTGCTGTTTTGTGCTTTGGCGTCGCTATCAGATGCTCAATGTCAAGCTAAGGCCTTACAACCAGGTAAAAGAAGAGAAGAACACACACTCACAGAATATTTATAGTAAATACAAAACAGTTTTAAAATGTGTAAAACTTTTCCTTTCCACAAATAGGCATGACCCGTTGTCAGGACGACAGTGATCTTACCTGGCATCCAGTTGGATCTTCATGGAGAAACAGCAAATGTTTGGACTGTACTTGCACTGAATGTTGTTCTGCGTAAGTACACGTTCCAAATTACTTCAGATTTTTAATTGGATAGCATTTATATTTGACTTTTGTAGTTACATAATCCACTGTTGACTGTGTCTTTGCAGGTTTTCAACCCCCACACGGTTTCCTTCAGACTGTGTGTCAGTGTTCGACTCTGCGACTTGTGAATTCATAGTGCACAAGAAGAACGACCCGACTCAACTGTGTCCAATTTATGGCGCAGTAGGGAAGTGATGCAGTGGTTTAAAAGTCTGATGTGATTTCTTAGGGGGAGGAGGGAGAGACATGCAGATGTAATCCCTCTCTGGCTTCTCAACAGAACTCACTGCCTGTTTTTGTTTGTTGTAAAGACGACCAAGAATAAAACTAATAAAAGCGAATAAAAAAATAATTTCCTTATTGTCTGTTTTTGCACATTTTTTCAGAAAGAAGCAAATCCTAAATCTAATCTGAATTATAACCTTTACTCTGTATGTTCCAGTATTTATTTGCTGGGTTCAAACAAACACTAAAACCGGTGGCTTCTTTGAATGATGACCATCCTCCTCTAATTCGGTTTCAAAGGTCCCTGCAGACACATTATAAAAGTCAACAGCATTCAAAACATAGTTTAGTTTCTAGCATCTCTCCTGAACACAATTAAAACCAGACAAGTTTGACTGGTGAGTTGATTTCAGAGTACAATTCTGTTTGTTGGTAGCTGTTTTTGTGGGTTAAAGGTTAAAATATAGCCTAACTATCTCTCGAGCCTTGCTGAGAAGACTTCTAGACAAACACGAGAACTGCCGCCAAAACTGAAAACGTGACATGGATCATAAGTATATAAGCAATTAAATAACATCTTACATTTCTTACAATACGTGTCCTTGCAGTATCAACACTAATTCGGCTGACTTTTATATTTGATCCAATTGGTAGATAGGCTGTATTTACACCATAACGGTGCACAGCTGATAGAAAGGGACACCTGGTGGTTAAAGCACGTTATTGAATGTTATTATTTTATTATTAGATTTTAATAGGATCCCTATAAAGTATATTCATTACTCGTTATTCTCTACTAATAGTTAATTAAAGACTGTATATAATGACTATTTTAAACATCCCTTTCAAGATTTCAAGATTTTCTAAGGTTTATTGACATATCATATTATACACAACTACGGTGTAGTTATGCAATGAATAAAAAACTTGGGTCGCAGGTTCCTCAACAGTGCATTACAAGACATCTATCAATATGTGTGTATACCTCCACCATTAAACTGTCATATTCTGCACATTTATTATACTATCTACATACATCTTATAAGACTAGTATAATACATGTATAATATCAGTTAAAATAAGTGCTTAAACATAGTTAACATTGCAGGAAATAAATATATTAGACGTTAAGTACTTTGTGAGGCTTAATATTTATCTGTAGATACAAATGTCACTGTGTGTGCTGTGTGCTCTGCATGTGTGACCATTAAAGAGGGTTTCATCCCTCCATATTCTTCTTCTACACCCCCAAAGCTGTTTTCTTATTCAAAAGAAGACCTTAACCTAGAGTATTCTTTAATGTTTAAATTAAGCCTTATTAGTTTGTCTGTTTTGCACATCCTCCTATTAATATCTAATAATAAAAATAATACAATTCAATAACGTGCTTTAACCACCAGGTGTCCCTTTCTATCAGCTGTGCACCGTTATCAGGGATCCAAACTCAT